ACAAGCAAGTCTTGTAAAATAATTTAATTATAAACTACAAACTTCACTAATAAATATTTGTTGATATTTATTTTCTAAAATGAATTAGTAGATTCATTACAAAAATTATTATAAGTTTTCAAAAGTTTTTAGAATATTTTTAAAATTTATAAAATCTACAAAATAAAGTATACAAGTTTTGAAAATATTTGAAAAGTAATAGATATAAGATAATTAGTTTAATTATTATCTTGATATTTTTTATATTCTTTTAAAAGTTTTTATAAATTTCAAAATATTTTTAAAATTTTTAAAATATACAAAATATTTTGAAAGTAAATAAAATATATAAGTTTTTGAAAATGTTTGAAAAGTAACAAGTGTAAAAAATAGTTATATTTATAGTGATTATTTATTATTTTAATATTTTTATATTTTTTAAAAAAATTTGTAAGTTTTTAAAATATTTTTAAAATTTTTAAAATCTTAAAAGTAAATAAACTATATAAGTTTTTGAAAATGTTCAGTATAAAAAATAATCATTATTATATAAATAAATTAGATTATTTTGTATTATATAATAATTTATAGTAAAAAAAATAAGTTTATTTTATTAGTATATATATAAATATTTCTGTTTTATTTTAATTTATTATATATATTTATTCAATACTTTAAAATTTAAAGTTAATAACTATCACTGATCAAAAATTTATAAATATTACACCTATCAAATACTTGATAGGTATAAAAGTAATGTATATATTCATATACTTATCAAGTACTCAATAGATATATCAGATATCTGATAGATATAAAAAATATTTTTACTATACTTATTAGGCATCTGATATATTTATTGGATATTCAATAAGTATATGAATATATATATATTACTCTTACACCTATTAGATATTTGATAGGTGTAGTATTTATAAATTTTTGACTAGTGTATAGAATAAAACTTAAACTATATTATAAAGTTAAATAAATAAATTTAAGACTATATTAGGAATAGTAAATGTAATATAAATTGAACTAGAAATTTAGTCAAATTTAATTTAATCAATTAAGTTTAGAAATTAGCTTTGATATAATCTAGTATAATTGTTAAATTCTGATGTAAAAATTAAATCCTAGTATAAAGGTTAAATAATAATGTAATTCTAATTGACTAATACTAAAGATAATTGACTCAATTAATTTTAACCTGACTCAATTAATTACACCTTGGTTAATTAATTTTGTTTTAGCTTAATTAATTGTATCAATTAAATTTCAGTTTAATTTAATTACATCAACTAAATTTTAACTCAATCTAACTATTGTTGACCATGATTACCTTTACTAAATACAATTAACTAACAACTGATAACAGGAAAACTATTGTCCAAAAGATCACAAAGCAATTGAACGAATATGTTACAGTTGGAAGGTTTTATACTCAAAGAGGTATAAGGTGTAAAGGATTTGATACTGTGGGTTTGTTCAAAAGAAGTTGAGGTGTGAGGTTTTTAAAGGGGTATGGGATTTAAACAATATGACACTAAGTCAACTAATATTCACACAGAATATTATAAGTTTCACACAGAAACTACAAAAATTCACACAGAATTAATACAATTAATCAAGATTACGAAGCAAGGTTAATTATAGACAAAATAATACTGAGATCACGAAGCAAGATATTATTATCAAAGTATTTCACTAAGAATTCAAAGGTTTCAAATTATTACTTGTTACAAAGACTTTTATTAATAATTTATTATATATATCAAGTTCAAAATATATTCAAGTTTTAACTGCCCTAACTCTAAAGGCAAAAGCTACCTCTATTTATATAAAATTGTCATCCTTTCGCAAGACTATAATTACTAATCTCAAGAAGCTCCGGAAATTTCCGTAACATTCCGGGAAATTCTATGAGCTATTTTGGCTAATGAGTTATTTGTGCTAGAGGTGTTTACCAGAGGTGGTGACCAGAGGTGTTAACCAAAGGTGTCAATCAGAGGTATCGACCTTGCGTTATAATAAAAATGATCTACATCTGTTACTCGTAAATAATAGTTCTAATATATAATGTTATACAAATCAAGAAATCTAATTAATAAACTAATATAATAATGCTAATAAATATATATATATATATATAAATTAAGAAATAAGGTTAACAGTATATAAAATCAGTGATTATATTTATATATAAAAGTTTTTAACATTACTAAGTAAAATTATAGCTAAGAACTAAATACACCTATTAAATAAATTTTAAATCTAAATCTTACAAATTAAAAAAAAGCTAGGTATTTAAATTATAAATGGATATTCAAAATTTAAATGTCACTCTTTCTTTTAATTTGTGATATTTAGATCTAAAATTTTTTCAGTAGATGTATTTAGTTCTCAACTATAGTTTTACTCAGTAATGTTTTGATGTTTTTCTAATAAAAAAAAGTAAAAACAATTGATTTTTTCTTTTTTATTATCAAAAATCACCAAAAAATCAGATGCTGATTTGCAAATCAGACAGTTGATTTTCAGGTGATTTGAAGATCAGATAGCTATCATTCAACCAGTGTTTGTCTAACTGTATACAAAACACAAGATCTTATTTTATCAAAAATATAGATAGAAATATTACAAACATCCAAACTGAAATATTTCATCTTGATTCATGATGATTAGAAAATATTTCTATATTTCATCTAACTATATTTCATTAATTTAATATATATAAAAAAAATAAAATAATATGGTGATTACTCTAAAAAAAATAATAGAAAAATTACAAAAATTTTTATAGTATCAGACTTCTGAAAATTTTTAGAACAAATATTCTATAAAAATTATGAAAAATTATAAAAGATTATATCTAATATTATAGAATTTTAATATTTAAAAAATTTTTGAAAATTCTGGACATGTTAAAATTACAGAATATTATATTCAAAAAAATTTTCAAAATCCAAGAACCAAAATATGTATAGTAACTATTGTTAGAATTTCTTAAAGACAAAAGTTCAGATGTTGTAATGTTTTCATGAATCACTGTATTTTATATAATTTTTATTAAAGATTTGATCAATAAAATAACTTAACAATAAAACTTAGATATCAAAACATCACAAAAAAAAAAGTATTTCCTTTGCAAAAAGGATATTCCTTTTAAAATGATATAATTATCTTTATTCCATATCATAAATATTTATTATTTATTTATATTTACAACTTTAATTAAAAAAAAACAAGTAATCAAAAAAATAAAAATAAAACCTTGTTTTTTGAAAGTCAACAAAAAAATAATTTTAAAAAATAAAATACTTACATTATACTGCAAATATCAAATTAATAATTTAAATAAATCAAAAAATTACTATTGAACTCAAATTGTTAATATGAAGATTATGTACTATAATACATTACATAATATAAAAATATATCCCTTGCATATAATATAAAAGAAAAATATAGATATAAAGTAAACAATTATAATCTTATATTTGTATTTATACAAGAATAACCAATCTATCCAGGATCTTATTCTGTGTTTCCAAAGGCTTTTAGTCCATTGTTATTGTGAATTCAAATCTTCATTTGGTTCTAACAAACTAAATTTATCAAATTTAAAAATTTAGCAATTATTATAGTTATTATAATCTTTACCAAAGAATCAAAGGAAAGAGAAATTATATAACCTGTATTGTTTGAGAAGAACACATTCACCACCATTTTCCAAATCTATATTATATTGGTAAAAATAACCTTCGGAAGTAACAACCATAACTTGTGGGGTATTACTAGAACATTTTATTATTTTAACCATTTTTTCACATTTAGTTAATATTGATGTTGACAATTTGATGATCTTGGCACTAAGAATAAAGTTCTTACGTACTTGCTTAAAGCAACTACACTCTGTACTCCAGAACTCGGTAACTTTAAATAGGCAAAATCACGTGTAGGTTCCCACATTTCTGTAATAGCATCAGGAAGATAATTACCAACACTCCCCGCTACGGTACGTCCAAGATGAAGAGATTGGCGGCGTATAGTGCTAATTATAAGGAATTTGCCAAAATAAATACCATTAGTACTTTCCCGATTGTCTTTAAAATAAATAAACATTTTATGAATAATCAAAAATATTATAAATATAATTATTAACTTACCCAACTCCACTTTTCTTTTTTCCATCAATAAATGCTTCAAATCCTCCTATTGTTGCAGGACCGGAAGAATGGCGCACAATAGGATTTGTTGTTCCCCCTGTACCATTGGAGGTGCCATTATTCGCACCTGCATTGCTACCAGTCCCCGTTGTATTCAGTTTAAAAATATGGACAGTTTCGGTATCACTAGATACACACAATAATGTGCTTACAGGGTTGAATGAAATAGAATGAATGCGGGCCGGATACGAACCCCTTCGGAATTGATATAATTTTTGTGCATTAGGGATAGAGAAAACACGGATAACAGTTCCCTTTACATTAAATATTATCGTAAATTTCTTAGTCAAGCAATTTGGTCTCAAAATATCATGGGTTATCATATATTATTAAAAATTTTAATTAATCACCTTATCGCTGGCTGTTGCCAACAATGTCCCCTCGGAATTAATAGCAACATACGCTACTGGGCTTTTATGTGCTTGAACTATATTAACAATTTGCAATGACAGAGCATCAAAAATTAAGACATCCCCAGATGGTGAAGTATTTTGTGAACTTTGATTTGAAAATGGAGATGACGGTGATGGAGTTTGAGATGGATAAGCTATGTAACAGTTTTCATTTGAAGGAGAAAGTGCACAGATCGCTAACAAAAATAGATTGCAATATTATAATTTAATAATTGGTTTAATAAGAATTAATAATTGATTTAATAATGTTCAGATGCAATTAAATAAAAAAGTAATAATTTACCTGTTTGGTTTGGACTGGTTTCGATGCTATGCAATAATTTCATATTACTAATATCATATACGAAAATTGTTTGTTCTAAAACAACAATTAACCGTCTACGATTAAGCTTCACAGCTAAAATCGACGTCTGGAAGGTAAGTTCACATATCGTAGATTGTCTCTTTGTAATAAAATTAAAATTCATCAATAGTGAAAATAGTGAATAATTTACACCCTTAAACCAAACTTTAAAATGCAAACCTTTGTGTTGGTGATCTGCAATCGTCTTGGTGAGAATGAAGGATGCTCTCCCGCTCCCACTAAAGCAACGAGAGACGTACAGAAAAGCATTTCGACGATACCGATTCCTCCGTCAGCTATTAAATAAAAATAAGTATGATAATACATTACGCGTTACAAAAAAAAAAATTCGAATCCTGCAATTTCTCATAAAAATTTCCAAACTTTCTTAATATAAAATATATATAATCGTGATATATTTTTTCTTTTGACAATAATAAATGTCTTTTAATAGGCACACTGCTACAATTATACATACATATATATATATATATATATATATATTATATAAGTGCTTGCTTACATTTTGAGAAACATTTTCCAAAAGGATCACAGTTGTATATTTTATAACCATGTTGAGTACCGACAGAGATACAGCTTTGTAAAAAAAATATTAAAACAAAAGAAAATTATTATATAAAATCTAAAAATTGCTATTGTAAATTTTTTAATTTACATCTAATTCAACATCCAATTCACATGTTAAGCAGCTATAACGCGTCAACTCTAACTTACAAAAAGCAAAGTAAATTACCTGAAGTCTTGATTAAAATTGATGAACAGCAACTCATTATTCCCTTTATTACTAAGATTCATAACGATTTTGAACAATAAGACTTTATCATAAAAATACAGAGATATGTTAAAATGTCAAATGTCATGTCAAATGACGTTAAATAAATCACATGAATATTATCATAGAATATTTCATTTTACATGTAAATTAATAAATGTACATTATAATTCATAACTTGAAGCAAGATTAACCTTATCTATATTGCTAAGGTAATACCTGTTGAAACTATATTAGTAAACTGGTTGGTTGAGAAACTATAATAAAATTTATTAAACTTATATCTACTATATTAAAAACTTATTGAAATTTGAGGTTTAGATTTTTGTCATTCAAAAATAGGTTTAGTACAAGGTCAAAATATTATCTACCAGAACAGATATATAGGTAGTAGTGTCAAAAATAATCTTGAATATAATGTGAAACATTCTTAAAATTGCAATTACAGATAAATTTTAATTTTATAATATTTGATTTTTTTAAATAGATTTAATTGCTTTTAACTTCTAAGTAATAGCTTACTTATTTTCATTTTATGAATTTACCTTTTATAATTCTTTATAATTGAAATAAGAAATTCCATTATCAAATTAAAGAATTGGTTTCTTTGTAATCTTCTATGTAAATAATTAATAAAAGATTTCAGTATCTTCAATCTCAAGGTTTAATAGAAAGAACAAATGATATTTTACAAGTAGAAATAATTGATTATATGGGTTTATACTATACATGTTTCCAAAATCAAGATGTGTAATTCTGAAACAGTTTTTTATAGAATACAAAATTATTTTATTTAAAACCTGAAATTTTTTGACATATAAATTCAATACATTAAATTTAATATTTTTTTTTTATCCATATGTAAAATAAATATTTCAAAAATTTCAAAATTCAGAAATACCTAAAAAATCAAATTTAAAAATACATATAGTTTACACTATTATTTTATTAATGAATTAATTTTATTAAAAAGACCCTTATAGTTTATATATAGCTATAAATTTAAAAAAATAGTATTTTAATTAAAAAATTATTTCAAAAAAAATAAGTAAATTTTTTGATATAATAGATAAGTAAATATACAAATAAATATAGATTATTTATAAATAAGTAAGTAAATTATATAATTATCAGAAAATTTTAAGAGGTAAAATTTTTTAAATTATTTTTATGAATTTAAATTAGTATTTTAATTTTTTGACTATTTTTAAATTAATTTTTATTATATTATCTTTTGTAATATTTTTTATAATATTTTTATTAAATAAAAATATTTTTTATATAATATATAAAATAATTTTATTTATTATATAATTAAATAATCTTATTTCAAATTTTTTTAAAAATTATATATTTTTATAAAATTTTTAAAAATTTTCAAAATCTTATTTTATTTTTAAGTTCTATTAACTTTTAGCAAAATTAAATACTATTATAAAAGTAGATTTTCTTTATATTTATTTTTTTTATATTTATTTTTTTTTTATTATTTATTATTGTTTTATTATTATTATTTTTTTTTGTTTTAGCGAGATCTTGTCTCAAATTTATTAATTAGAAAAAGAAAAAGTTTTTTACATTATATAAGATTATATAATATAAAATACATAACTTATTCTAATGTTTATTAGAAAAGATAAGACTCAGACTAACTCATGAGAGACAAGTCCGCAACCTACTGCCTGTTATTATTATTTTATTATTATTTTTATTATTATAAGAATTTCTAAATTTTTAGTTTCAAATAATATATTTTTATTTCAATTAAATAATTTTAATTAAAATATCTTAATCAAATTTAGTTCTCTCAACTTCATTTAAGATAAATAATAAAAAAAATTTGAAATTTATGTTTTTGACAGGTTTATTTAAAAAAAAAAAAGAATAAAAAATATTTATTACTTTGAACTCATAATGGTTTCTATTTTCTATTATATAAGATATGACAATGGAAATTAAAAATATATAATTTTAACTGATTTAAAATCATTATTTTATTATATTACAACTCACATTAATTAATGATTTTCTAAAAAAATCAAAAAAAATAACATTATGCAATATTTTTATATAATGTAAACCTAATATACATTGAAAATGATACTAAAAATTATAAATTAATAATATCTTATTAAGCAATTTAAACAATTTTAAAATTTTAAAATAGAAAGTTAAATGTCAATTATTCTCAATTTAAAGTAATATGCCTGGAATTTTTATAGCAGATACTATTCATTATTGACTTTCAAGTTACTTAATAACATTTTGACATTTACTTATTAAAATTAAAAGTTTTATATGTAGCAGCAATTATAAGTATCTTTTAAATTAATTGTCAAAGAAACAAATTGATCATATTTTACTATGGACCAGAAAAACTTGTCAAAAAAAAAAAAAGATAAAGAATAATACTTTATACAATAGATCTCTTTTATTTATTATAAAAACTTTTCAACAAATTACCTAATATATTATTACATGATGGTAATAAAATAATAAATATAATCTTCATGTTTATTAAATCAAATTAATAATAAATCATGCAAATGAGTACAAATTTTGACTATTTTTAGTTGGAATCAGAAATTACCTACGCCAAAAAAAAAAGAAATAAGAAATAAGATGTGATGTATGGATTCTTCCAGAAAAGCACATACAAATAAAAATGAAAAGAACAAATCGAGAAAATTATAAATATTATATATTTGTGCTTAATGAGAAATCTTCTCAAGTCTATCAATCTTAGCGATTCTAAGCATATCCAACATGAGTCTCGCCGATTTCGTATGATTATTTAAACCTCCATAGAATGCTTTAGTGGAATCTTTACCATAATATGCTTTCAATATCTTTTCACCACCTGGATGTGCCGTTTTAAATTCCTTTACGTCCAACACAAATTCATCAATTAACATCCATTCACGTCCCTCGTCTTTTACTTTGGATTGAAATTCATTGTAAGTAATAGTAGGCAACGATTTTGGATCGGTACCCCAATCGCATTGTTCACGTACTTTTTGTGCTTTATATAATTCTATGTTTGCTTTAGCTTTTTTTACCTCGTTTTCGGGTACTCTGAACATTGAGGTTACTTGATTAGTAAAAGTGTAAAAGAACAAGATGAACCATTTTGAAGGATCCCAATCGAATACTCGATAACCGTTACGATAATCTTTGGGAAATTCATGATGAAAATTGTGATATCCTTCTCCGTTGGTTATAAAGGCAAGGAATAAATTTCCTCGAGCCGAAACTTCTGTCGAATAAACTTGATCACCAGTATAGTGAGCTAAACTATTGATACAGAAAGTGCAATGCCAAATTACAATACGACCAACGACTCCAGCATATAACAGACCACCGAGAGCGTCATTCCATAAAGAAGCAATCATTGTCGGTAAAATTAAACCGGTGAATAATGCCAATGGGACGTAATATTTATGTTGAAATACGACAACTTAAAAAAAAAATGAAGAAAATTAATTTCAAATCTGTCAAAAGTAATTGACCGAAAAAAAAAAAAAAAAAAAAAAAAACTAATCAACTTACCAGGGTCAGCATTTAAATCTGAAGCATCAACAGACTTCATTCTTGGGTAATAAGGTTTGGAGAAAATCCAACCTATATGAGAAAACCAAAGTCCTTTGGCCGCAGAGTAGGGATCGTGGTCTGTGTCGGTGAATCGGTGATGTAGTCTGTGTCTAAGCACCCACCATTTGATAGAACCTTGGAAGGCAAGAGTACCCCAGATTCCAAGTGCAAAACGAAGTGGTGTTCTAGCTGTAAAGGCTCGATGACTCCATAGACGATGGTATCCCACAGTTATTCTACAATATTGAGAAACGAGAAAAGACAAAAGAATAAATATTTTGCATTTTCTTAAATTTCCTTGAACAGAAATAATGATTCTTACCCGCAAGTTCCCAATTGAAAAAGAACAGCGGCCAACCATAAAGTTTTACTCGTTGGTGTATACGTTATTAGGGTTATCAAAGCTACTACGTGCATAAAAATCACAAATACGGCATTTGCATACCAAGCTTCGACCTCGCTCTTTTTGCTAGATTCTTTCTTTAACGATTTAGGATTTTGATTAGAAAGAGCCGGATGTATTTGAGAAGAAACCATTTTTGATAATGAGAAAATGAGAGAGAGAAAGAGAGAAAGAGAGAGAGAAGGAAATGTGGGATTTAATGAGAATGGTTATAAAATTTATAAATTTTGGGAATTGAGAATTTATTTCTCGAAATGAAAGGTTAGAAACAAACGTTACAAACGTTTATTATATGCAAATATATACGCGTATTTTAAATTAAAATGAGAATATTTTTTATTTTATGAAAGGGAAAATTTAGAGGTTTTTATATGAAATTTTTATTTAAAAAACTTTTTTTTTGAAAATAAAATAACTGACATTAGTTGACATCTGCTTATCATCAAAAACGCGTGTCATTCCGGAATTACATTTTAAAATTTTACAATAGCATTTTATGCCAACCAAAATGAGAAAATAATAATAGACATGAATATGTTTTGACATTTTACGTATAAACATGTGTAAAACAAATTTATTTTCTCATACGATTCCAATTTAGTATTTTTAGCATTGTTCTATAAAAGAACGTTTATAATAATAATAGATAATGGAAATAATTATTGTAGATCACTTAAAATATGTACATCACTTAATGTATGTAGATCACTTAAAATATGTATATCATCATATGTCAATGAAATCATAAACAAAACACATGATAAATTGACTTTTTAGAATTTTCATATTATAACACATTAAAAAAATCAGATATCTATAATTCATCTTTGTTGAAATTATTTAAATATTTAAAAATTTTAATTTAAATTGAGACCCAAAAATAATGATCTAAAATTTTCCAGATTCTTCTCATCAATTATAATTTAAATTTCAATAAAACATTTATTTATTATATTTATTTATTATATTTATTACCTTTGTAGTAATTATCGCTGGGACCAAGGTCACGTTTAAACATTGCACGTGGAAATTTATGATCACCTTCTAAACTACGGACCAATAAAATATAAAATTCGCAAAGGTATCGTTTTTTGATATATCTATGGTTATTTATTTTTATTTTTAAAATAACCTATCAAAAAAAATAATAATAAAATTCTCCTTATTCTGGACCCCTGGTTCAGGGTTAGTTTTATTGGACCATAATTTAGCATTATTATGTTCATCAGTGACAAATATTGGGGACAAATATGGTTTCCGCATGATGGCATGTAAAAAAAATTCTGTCCCCAGGATATTTAATAAAAATTGATATTCGAAAGGTGATAAATACGCGCAAAAGTATCGTTTTTTTGATAGACCTATGGTTATTTTTTTTGATGTACCCATAGTTATTTTTTGATACTTTAAGTAACGTTTGCGCAAAGATTTCTTTTGATAGATCTATGGTTATTTTTGATATATCAAATTTTCATGTGACAAAATAGTTATCTTTTTGATGCATCTATAAATAAACAATTACACTTTTTTTCACGCGTATCTTGATATATCAAAAAAAAATAACCATAAGTCTTTTGCAACGTTCGCAACTAATTATTCGATGAACACGTGGTTCTCATATTATATATTTCACGTGAACAATGTATATTAGTTGACTCACGTTACTTAAAAATAAGTCTACAGTGCGGAACCTCTATAATAGGAACTTAGAAAATCTTAAATAAAATTTAATCCAATGATCAGATTTCTTTTATATTATAGTATTTGAATGTATACATTTGGAGGAATC